TCATAACTTCTTTCGGAAGAGCGCACAGCAGATACCGAAGCAGATTTGGAATCAGCTACTCAAGATGCATTATGGCATAGGTCTTCTTTCGAAAGGCCACGAAAGGTCGCCGAATATCCTTTCCTTCTAAACAGAAGTGATTTTTACATTCCTACATAAAATCTCCATTCTTTCTAGCGGCGCTTGCTTTTGATGACCCATGGAGAGCTGCGGATGAAGAAAACGACGATATGATGGCCGATCCCCTAGGACCATCATTTGCCAGCGGTGCCGTCGTACCCAAGAGGCCAAAGATTGTTAAGCACAAAAAGATTGCGATCATAGAACATCATTCTATGCCAACGATCATAGAACATCACCCTATGCCTACGATCCTAGAACATCACCCTATGCCTACGATCCTAGAACATCATCCTATGCCTACGATCATAGAACATCATCCTATGCATGCTGCAGGTACATTTCAGTCATTCACGCGTTCGGGCACTTTTTATTTACTACCTTTTACAGCAGTTATTCGACGCTTTTTCAAACCCATACCGCACATAGTGCACGACCAAGATCTAGACGATGGAATGGCAAGAAAAAAGAGATCAGTTCCTTAGCGAAATGCAGTGGTTGTATGGTGGATTTCGCAAGAAATAAATGTTTCTATTCATATCTTTTGTGCATAAGATGCACCACATCAATCTTGAAGTTTCTTTCTAGGACTGTCCATTCATATCATGCAATACAGTTGTCCCAAAATGATGTATCGAAAGTTCATTTTGTAATAAATCTCTTGAATAAAAAGCTTTCGCCTTTATATAAACGTACTGTGAGCTGGCTTCAACTTAGATTTGGATTTGGGCAGCGAATCAACGACCGCTCTTCATTATAATAGAAACGGTAAAAACTTTAAGCTTACGGTTTCAATGAGGTTTAGCCTTGCTTCGAATATTTTTTTGAAAAATTTGAGAAGCTGCATACCACGGCGTTTACGTGCGCGCATTTTATTACTCAACTAGCTGGCATACCCGGCTCCGCCCGGCCCTGTCAGAAC